GACCCAAGACTTCATATCCCTTTGTTTTCCTTCATACATATTATCATCTGACAAAAATGGATGTAATATTTGTTTGCTACTTGTCTTCCCCTCTAGATTATAAACACCATGACAGTGGGGATTTGGTTTCGCTTGTGGCTGTATGATACATGTCTATCTCCCATGTCTAGCACAGTATGTGCCTAACACACAGTAGGTGCTTCATAATTATTTGTTGAACGAATAATCAAAATAAAATATCGCACAGCCAGCCTTCTATGACTGAGATTCTGGAGGAATTACTTACAAGGATAACTCACCTTTGCTAACCATTCAGTCACTCCAGCTAAGCTGCTCTTATGTTCCACCTCTCACTTCCTACCTTTTGTGTCATTGTCCTCCCTGCCACCACTCATGACAGAGTACACTACTTATGCCTGGAAAGGCATACCAGCTTATGGAAGGGTCACTGTGATGTAACTCTTTATTTCAGGAAACCAAAGGGAGAGGGAGAATAAAGCTGGTCCAACATCTGTAACAAAATTGTTCTGAGAGCAATTACTTCACAGCCCTTTACTTAGTACCTGCTTGTGCAGAGGCTACAGAAAAAGATAAAACAAAGTCCTGTTTCCATTCTGAAGGCAAAACCAAATCGATTGAGTCAGCACCATTAGCCAAGAGGAGGGAGTAAGAATTGCTGCCCGAAATTGCTGAGAGGAATAAAATGGGGGTCGGGGGAGGTGGAGTCTTCAACAAGAAGATGGTGTTTGAGGTGGATTTTGAAGAATGAGTAGAAGTTCAGTTTGTGGTAAATGGGAAAACAGGATAGAGAAGGCATTTTAGACAGAGGAACCAGCGTCAGCAAAGGGACAGATGGTGTGTGAGATGCTGGTGATACTAAAAGTATTTAACAATCAGTTGTATGCAGATATCAACAAATCCAAATGGGCATCCTAACCAAGCAGAGTGGATATCAGCCATAGACAAACCAGCATGGCCATATCATTGCATACCACCTGACTATCAGCTCAAGAGAGAGAGCAGAGTGTCGCAGAAATGCTGAGTCATGTGGCATAGCTAATGTTAATGTAATAATAATAGCTGATGCCGAGGGCTTACTATGAGCCAGGCACTGTGCTTTGTGTGCTTTAGGTTTGAGTCCTTCAATCAATCCCTATATAATAGATACTGTTACCTTCCCCATTTTACAGATGGAAAATTGGATATGAAAGAGTTTCAGTCACTTTGCTTCAGGTCACTCAACTAAAAAATTATTAGATCTGGGATGTAAGCCTATACAGACTTACTCCAGAGCTTGTACACTTAACTAAGGTATGCTGCCTCAGGTAATGGCTAGAATGTAGGTTGCCTCTCTAACACTGTGGGGATAAGAGGTAAAGCAGGCTGACGTTTCCCCTTATAGACATTATAGTTTGGTTGAGGAAACAAGACTCTCAGCCATAAAACCTAAGAAACATTGCAAGGACTGTCAACAGCAACATGTGATACTTGCCCAGGAAGTGGGACATACAATGTATGCTGTGTCTTTTCCCTAAACTGGAGTGGTCATGGAAGAAATGGAACTGGAACTTGGGCTTGAGAGGTATGGAACAATGTGGAATTAGGGTCAGAAGTACTAGGGTGTGACCTACTCGCTAGCAGTGTGACCTGGGCCAAAGTAGTTTCCTTCGGTGTTCCCATCTGTAAAATGGGTGATGTGGATTAGACTAGTGGTTCTTAACAGAGGTATCCTACCCCTGGGAGGTATTTGGGAAATGGTGAGGGCATTTTTGGTTATCACAGTTATTGAGGGAGACTCTTAGGTTGGCCAGGAATGGTCAATGTTCTGCACACTCTAAATTGTCCTGTATCCTGCCCCTATGTTTAGAAGACCTCTGGACATTCATGGAGGTGGAATGTCTTTATAGTTATCTGAGCCTATAACATAACCACATTTTACATATTGCAATGAATTTTTCATTGTTTTATTTTATTGATTAAAACCACCCAGTAAATAAAGGAAAGACTGAACTTTTTTCTCAGAACTTTACCATGAGTTATTCACCATTTCAGAAAACCACTACAGTAACAGTAACTCTGTTCGTGGTACTTGAGTCACCAACATCACATCCCAATGTCATTCTGCTTCAGCAGGCTATCGCGTTCACAGTGATTCGGCATTCAGCTGCTAGCCTCTGACAACTTCATTACATCTTACAGTACACCCATGTACGAGCCTTTACATATTGAAATACGTATTGTTTCATTATACTTTTGTTTTTTATTTGCAATACAATAATGGCATAATATGTGCTTTTTAAATTATTCCTTACATCTTTATTATAACTTATTCCTATGAGTTGTTTTATTTCAGGATAGCAAGAATGAATAATAAATACTGATAATAAAAAGTAGTGTGCCTGTCCGAGTTAAGAGCCATAGTATTAGATGATCTCTCAGGGCCTTTTCAGTTCTAATTGTCTGTGGGTGTAGGGAGAGGTTGGATTCTGAGAGGAAGTGGAGAGCATTCGAGGACGGGAATGACACCAGCAACATGGCCTGGTTCAGCAGGGTTGGAGTGTCCCCAGAGAAGCCAGGATAGGGAAGGGACTTACTTCCTCAGGGCCTGGTCTTGTCATGTTCCCTGGAAGCCACTCCTTTCCTCCCTCCCCCTTCACTGTAACTGAAGACTCCTGGGGGAACTGCCAGGGCCCGCATTACAGGAAATTGCCTTGTGGCCAGTCGGGCCTCTCTGGTTACTTTCCTCCCTGACAGAGGACAGTGATGGCTTCCTGTCTGTTAGCTGGGTGTCTTTGCCTCCTTTTTCTGCCAAGTTCCCAAGAAATCTTAGCTTCTGCTCCTTATGTTTTTGTTCAGCTCCTGTCATTGGGGTTTTTCCCTTTCTTATCTAGCTCCCTTGCTTCAGGCCTCCTTGCTCCGTGCTAGAGATCTGGAAACTTTTGGTCCACAACAGACAAATTGTGTGGGACACCCAAATAGCATTGTTTGGAAGTAGGCCAAAGCCTGGAACAGATAAAACTGCCACTTTGGCAATGCCTATTGAGTCCTCTTCCTTGAAGGGGATGACTTTATCATTTAGTAACATATTGGTTTTGCTTCTAATTATACATACTCATTGAAGACTGCTAGGAAAATGCAGAAATATATGAAGAAGCAAATACAAATTATCCATTATCCCAAGAAATACTGTACTCAGTGTTAGACAAAGGTGACAGCACTGGTGAAGGTTGAATTCAGTGTTGCTCTGTCTCTCTATTCTCTGTTCTATGCCAGCCCCCAGTTTTCTCCTCCCACAGCACCTTTTGATCTTACCCTTTTGAAAACTTGCCTGTCCTATATACCATAACATAGAGGGCAAACTGAAAAGTGTACACTAGCACTTACCATGTCAAAGGCACATGAGAGAGATAAAATATCTCAAATCAGAAAGGTGTTTGGAATCTAAAATAGCAATATTTTGTCATAGCTCTGCCATCACTACCTTATTACTGAAGTGTTCTGGTGATAAAGTGTTGTGGGAATGTCTAAAGAGATAAGAGACCATCTGAGAAATTCACGGTTCTCCCTGGGAATTAGGAAAAGGCTCACAGTCCAAAGAGACAAGAATGATTAAGTGTGAGGCTGGCTCATAAATATGCCTTTCTCTTTTGAAAAAAAAATAACCAACATTAAACAGAAAAGTTCAATGATACTAAATCCATCCCAGAGATAAAGTTCTTATTACAGATAATAGTTAGAATTTATATTTTGCTTTTTTTCCAAGGTGGATAGGGTCAGAATGGCAGTTTCCTCATGTTTGAGTTAACATGGAGCCTCTGGTAGACAGAGGACTTAGAAAATGTAAGGCATAAGAGTTAAGGTTAAGGCTTTGGAGTTAGTCTGACCTGGGTACAAATCTCACTTCCATTCATGTAGTCATCAAACATTCCTTACATGCCAACCCCTTGTCTTAGATATCAGGATTAAATATTGGACAACACAGATAAGGGCCCTACTTACATGGAGCTTACATTCTAGTGGGGAGAGACAAAATGTTTAATGTTGAAAAAAAAACATAATGATATGATTGGAAGTAACTGGGGGTCACCTTAGGCTGAGTGGTTAGACAAGCCTCTCTGAGAATAGACAATTGAATGGGCACTTGGAGGATGAAAAAGACACCAGCACTAAAACAAAAAAAATCTAGAGGACGTGCATCCCAGGCAGAAGTAACAGCTAGGGCAAAGCCCCTGAGGCAGGGTCTGGCTTAAGTTTTTAAAGAATAGAGTGAATACCAGTGTGACTGAAGCAGAGTGAACCAGGAAGAGACTGAAAAAGTAAGGTTGGAGAGGGTCAGCACAGGTCAGATCATGCGGGGGCCTAACAGAAATTTAGCTAGTAATAACAATCATCACAGTAATAAAGCAGAGAAGGAGAAAGGAAGTTGGAGAGTTTGAGGGATACTGTATGGTGCTACCTCAGGAATTTGAATGTGACTAACTGGGCACAGGGCTGTCACTGTCAGGTTTGAAGGGTATGCTGAAAGTGGGGCCTGAGGAGAACAATTCTGAGAGCAGAGTATGGGGTGGCAATTTCCCTCTATCATTGCATTTCTAGCCCTTAAATTTCCCTCAAGTTCTCTGCTGCAGCTACTGCTTTTTCAATGGGAGCAACTATGGAAGTCCAGTGGATGCAGGGGTATGTCTAGGGTCTATTTCCAGCCCATGTAAAGAAATTTTCTTCTACTTTGTGACTGGAACTCCTACCAATGAGGTGGTATCCCAGTCAGTTTCCAAACCAGCCACCAAACTGGCAACTTTGTGAGGTGTAGACCTGACTAAAAGGGTGCTAGCTTAAAATGACTTTTTATTTCATGTAACTCATGACATTGTCAATGAGATGATTAAGCCCTCTTAATTTACATGAGTAGGAGGAGTGTGGCTAAGGGCTAGGTTCTCTGGGGCAACATTGCTTCTTGGTTTACATGGTTTACTAACTTCTTCCTTTTTTTTTTTTGCTAGGGAGAGAAGAAGTCCCTTGGAAAGCCATGTGGGGGCCAAGACTGCAGTGGAGGCTGTAAATGCATTCCTGAGAAAGGAGGCAGAGTAAGTTGCTTCTTTCCTTGTTGAAAGACAAAGAGTCAAAGGAACTGTAATCTGTAGTGTGTAAGTTTTCTTTAAAGTTAAACTGCTTGGAATTTACTCTTATAACCTAGGAATGAACACAGAAAATGATGAAGACCAGCTGGAAGGAACTTTGCTGACTAAATGATAGGCAGAATTATGATACTAAATCCATCCCAGAGATAAAGTTCTTATTACAGATAATAGTTAGAATTTATATTTTGCTTTTTTTCCAAGGTGGATAGGGTCAAAGTCTCTGAGGGTCCAGGAGGAGGTTGTCTCATTGACTTACTGCCAAGGTTTCCTCAAGATTTCATCTGGAGTATTTCCAAGCACCAGTTAGGTGGTATGGAACAAGATTATGATGTTTGTAAATACGTGTACATTTTCATAGCTCATTTATATTCACTTGGTTCTTCCTTACCATTCTGGGGAACAAGTGGTCCAATTGTTGTTTGCAGACTAGGGATGTGGCTTGTTCAAAATCAAGGGTACAGGATGACCATAAAGTCCAGAAATATTGGTGACTATATACCAAGAATGATTTATAGATATTATATTAAAACATAGAATGTTTAAAAACATTGTGTGGTATATTCAATGCATTGTCCCTCACTAGCAATGCACAGTTCAAATTGTGAAAGAACACAATGAATGATGTGTTGCCCCAGATGAATTTTATCTCTGATTTTCATTGAATAAACCTGCATCTTTAGTGTAACTCAAAAAAGTTATTAGAGGAGATTCAATCTGCAAAAAAATAAAATACAATCTATGTTTACAGAATTTATGGCCCTCCTGTGGAATTCAGATTTCTGACTTCTAGCATTATGTCTGTACTCTCATTATGCTCAAACAAGCCTAAGAGCTTTCACTGTCAACGGAAGGTAGCATAAATAGGTCATCGAAACCCTCAAAAACATAGCCAAATGGGGAACAGAGTGACCATTCTCACTCCTCTTTCATTATCTTCCATTTGAAGTTAAGTGAAATGTCAAACTATTTCAGAACTTGAAGGAACAGAAAAAGCTATTTCCTCATGAAAAGGGACCAGCCCTATTATATTTTAAAGGCACAGGCTTAGAGAATGATAAAATATCAGAAAAGGAACGTATCTTCGTGAGCTTCTCATCTTATCCGCTGATTGTTCAGAGGAAACAAACTCTGGGAAGGAAAATGACTTTCTGGGATCACACAGCAAATTGATGGCAGATTCAGACTATTACCTGGGTCCTTTTATTTCTTGTCTATTTACTTTAGCCCCTGTAGCCACCAAGGCCCAGGCCTTTGCAACTGATCTACAACTTAGAAACACTTTAGAGAAAAATAATTCTGCAATAGGTGTATGACTACATTCTTAAACAACATGCAAGCAGTACAGAAAAAGCAAAAGTTTCCCTTGATGCTCTCTCAGTCTCACTATCATCTTTCTGATTTTTTCAGTGTATAATCAGAGATAGGTACAAATACATATAACAATAGTTTCATTTTCTTTTCTCCTCAAACTATAATCATGAGTATACATTCTTTGCCTTGTTCTGTGTTGCTTTAGACACTTAATATATCCTTAGGGTCTCTTCCTCTGCCCCATAGTTTAAAGCCATTCCCCTTTTGATGAACACTTAGTTTGTCTCCAAATTTTTGCCATTTTAAAAATGACAATGCTACAGTGAAAAAAATCCTTGAACAGGCCTCCTGATACTCATCCCCAGCATAGATACTAAGGATCGGAATGACCACATACAAGGTAATGGACATTTTTAATTTGCAAGTTAATGCTCAATTACCCCACAAAGTATCTATGCCAATTTACACTCCCATGAGCATTGTACAAAAGTGCCAATATTTCTACACCCCTGCTAACACTTGGTGATTTTTGCTGCCATGGGTGGCAAGTATCCCAATTCCTGGACCACATGTGAATTTAAGTGTCTTTTCACATATCCATGGGGTATTTATATTTCTTCTGAGAATTTCCAGGACATATCCTCTACCCACTTCCCTGAGCAGTGATACTTAATTGACTTACTTTACCCCTGCAAAGATGTAACAAATAAAAATGGCCCAAGTGGAAATGCAAATTAAAACCACAATGAGATATCACCTCACACCAGTTAGGATGGCCACCATCCAAAAGACAAGCAACAACAAATGCTGGCAAGGATACAGAGAAAGCAGAACCCTGCTACACTGTTGGTAGGAATGTGAATTGGTTCAACCATTGTGGAAAGCAGTGTGGAGATTCCTCAAAAAACTGAAAATAGAAATACCATTTGCCCCAGGAATTCCACTCCTAGGAATTTACCCTAAGTAATGCAGCAGCCCAGTTTGAAAAAGACATATAGACCCCTATGTTTATCGCAGCACTATTTACAATAGCCAAGAAATGGAAGCAACTCGTGTCCATCAGTAGATGAATGGATAAAGAAGATGGAATATATTCCAATAATATATATTCAATGGATTATTATTCAGCCATAAGAAGAAAACAAATCTACTATTTGCAACAACATGGATGGAGCTAGAGGGTATTATGCTCAGTGAAATAAGCCAGGTGGAGAAAGACAAGTATCAAATGATTTCACTCATCTGTGGAGTATAACAACAAAGCAAAACTGAAGGAACAAAACAGCAGCAGACTCACAGAACCCAAGAATGGGCTAGTGGTCACCAAAGGGAAAGGGGTTGGGGAGGATGGGTTGGAAGGGAGGGAGAAGGGGATTAAGGGGTATTATGATTAGCACACACAGTATAGAGGGGGTCACGGGGAAGGCAGTATAGCACAGAGAAGACAAGTAGTGACTCTGTAACATCTTACTATGCTGATGGACAGTGACTACAATGGGGTGTGGGGGGGGGGACTTGATAATATGGTTGAATGTAGTAACCACAGTCTTGCTCATGCTAAACCTGAGCATAAGATTGTATACCAATGATACCTTAATTTAAAAAAATGGCCCAAGTGGAAACAGATATTTGAAATTTGACACAAAAAGGTATTTCCTGATGGATTGTAGGGGACAGGAAACAGTCGTTAGACTCCACAGCCAGGGAACTGGAAAGGAGCTCTTCTTTGTTGGCTTGGGTAGCCTTTAAAAGTAAAAAATCTTGTATATCTGGACAGAGGTCAGTCCTACAACAGCCAAACATGCCTAAGCTGACCACATTGTTTAAGCCCTGGCTGAAATTTTGATCTTTGAAGATGGAAGGCACGGGCTTCCTCTGTGAGAAGCCCTCGTTTGGATTCCAAACATCTGGAGCCCTAATCCGACTTCTCCATTGAAAACCTGAGTGGTTGAAGGGGCGAGGGATGGAGGAAAATAGAGCATCACTGCACAGGTATTTTTTCCTCAATATTTAAAAGACTCAGAGTCCACACAGCTAAACATGTTCCTAACGTTTATTTGTGACATCTGAAGTTTCTGGGAACATTTGTCAAGGTTATTGAACCAGACCAAACTGTATTTCGTGAGTCAAGAACAGGAACATCCTATGTCCCAGGTAGATCAGGCGGCTGGTGTGCATGGGGCAGACCCTGTGAACAGGACGCTGGAAGCCACCCAGGCCGCCAAGTCCCCTTTAGTCATCCTCCTACACCTTCCTGCATTCCCAGGGCTGAGCAGGTTTGTTTAAACTGGCCCCAGCACTGTTGACCCCGCAGGGCAGCCCCTCAGCACCCCTTTTGTGCAGATGTCAGAAAGATTTGAGACTGTTTTCTTTAGCTGAGCAGCAGGCCCCATTTGGATGTCAAGCTGTTCTTTGAGCTGTGTGAGTTGGGAGGAGAATGGAGCGTCAGGTCACCTCTGAGATACGCGGCAGCCCTTGGCAGGTCTGCCTCCTGCCTTGGGGAGACATCAAGCACATAGCTTGCTGAGCAGCGTGTACTTTTCTTTTGCCAAAGGCCTCTTGAACCGACTAGGACCTGTAGACAACAGCTAGGCTCCTGCACAACTGCAATCCAACCCTTTGTGGCTTAAGTGATCTCATCCTGGTTTCTTGCAGGTACGCACTGTCTGGTAAAAGCCCTTGTCTAGCCTCGGCTTTCCAAAGCATCTTCTTCCAGGGCCTGTATTATCTGTATGCAACACACAAAGGAGCTACCAAGTGACTTGCCCAAGGTCACTCTCCTGTTAGTGGCTAAACCTTATTTAGCCTACTTTAAGGAGAATGTCAGCTCTAAGAAATGGCATATCTAGTAACATTATCGAAAGAGCTTTTCCCCCTGGACATTAACATTTCAATTTAATGTTTCACTTTCAGTTTTCTTTCTTAGGAGGTAGGTTTTATTATCTGGGAGAGCCATTCTTTTGAGCTCTCTTCCCTCATATTTTTTTTTCTGCCATTGGATTGAGAAAAACATTTCAGATTGCCATTTCTTTCCCTTCCCTTTTCTACCTACTGGATTTGAAAGCTATCTCTACGTTATGCTCTGTCAGTGTATATTTGTCTGAGTTGGGAGCAAGTGGGATTCTTTGTTTCATTTTGAGCCTGGTATTCCTTAACACTATTTCAGAGTTTCCCCTGTTTCAACAGTGTTCTGGTGTTTATATATGGCATCTGAGTTTCTAATTATCCATGCAATCTAAAGGAGCATTATCACACATAATCCTAAACCACAGGGAATGTTTGGACACCCTCCTGACTAAGGGCTGTTTGCTCCTATTTTATGGCTTAGGAAGCTATGTCCTAGCTAGATTTATAAGGCTAGCCCACATTTTACGCAAAACAGCCCAGGTTTCTTAATCCCTTATCTCCTGCCTGCGTCCTGCTGCTTCTCTGTCAAAAAATGTGTGTTTCCCATGAATTCCAGAGCCCAGCTGCATCAACCACTACTCCTTCAATTTACTCTTCTCCTGTAAACAGCTGGTGTTCTCTGTGTCAGCTGACTGGTGCCATGGCTACCAAGAGGCCTTTCTATTTTTTCCTGAATTAGGCAGTTCCTCTGTGCATCTTTCCCATCTCCCTGTGTATCCCCCATACCC